TGTCCAGCGTGCCTCCTACGTGTTCAGGGGGCCTCCTATTTGTCCAAGGGGCCTCCTATTGGTTAAAGTAGCCTCTTATTTTCCAAGCGGCCTCCTATTTATCCAGAGGGCTCCTATTTTTAGGGGGCCTCCTCTTTATCCAGGGGGCCTCCTTCTTGTTCAGGGGGCCTCTTAATTGTCCAGGGGCCTCCTTTTGTGAAAGGGGCCTCCTATTTGTCCAGGAGGCCTCCTTTTGTGAAAGGGTCTAGGACCTTCTATTTGTCCAGGGGGCCTCCTATTTTTGCAGGGGGCCTCCTATTTGTACAGAGGGCCTCCTACTTGTATATGGGGTCTCCTATTTGTCCAGGGGGCCTCCTTTTGTGAAAGAGGCCTCCTGTTTGTCTAGGTCTAGGACCTCCTATTTGTCCAGGGGGCCTCCTATTTTTGCAGGGGGCCTCCTATTTGTACAGAGGGCCTCCTACTTGTCCATGGGGCCTACTATTTGTCTAGGGGCCTCTTATTTGTCTAGGGCCTCCTATTTGTCCAGGAGGCCTCCTACTTGTCCAGAGAGTCTCCTATTTCTCCAGGGGACCTCCTGTTTTCCGGGGGGCCTCCTACTTGTTCAGGGGGACTCCTACTTGTTCAGGGGGCCTACTACTTGTTCAGGGGGCCTCCTACTTGTTCAGGGGGCCTCCTACTTGTTCAGGCGGCCTCCTATTTGTCCAACAGGGCCTCCGATTTGTCCAAGGGGCCTCCTATTTAAACAGAGAACCTTTTATATGAATATCGGACCTCCGTTTGCAAAGTAGCTGGTGCGTCTCGGGGGCCTCCACTATTGGGGTCCCAAAATGACAAATGGGGTCCCAAATGTTCGCATTGGGGTCCCACATGGGACCTCGAAAGTATACAAAGTTACACCCATGATTGCACGCGTTAGAGAGCTATCGAACCCACTTTCAGCGCGCTATAGCTTTATATGTCCTCGAGTGCCGAAATAGGCGAAACTTTTCCTTCGATGAACATGATGACGTGGGCTTTGGTCTGAACTGCAACATGACTGAGTAATTTCTCCATTATTTTCGACGCTCTTTAGAAAGCCGCCTACCGCCGCACTTGTCGCTACGTGACCCTGGAGTCAGGTTAGAAGGGAATATTCAAACACCCCTCAGGGGCGTAAAACTGGAAAGCCTGGGGCCTGCTCTGCGGGGCGCGGTCGAGCTAGGCTAGAGCCAGTTCAGGATGTTTACAAGCCCACGTAAAGCCCTCAAGAATCTGCATAGAGCACAGGCCTTCCGAGACTTGGGGGTTTAGATATCAACAATCGACATGGAAGCCGCCTACCGCCGCACTTGTCGCTACGTGACCCTGGAGTCAGGTTAGAAGGGAATATTCAAACACCCCTCAGGGGCGCAAAACTGGAAAGTCTGGGGCCCTCCTCTGCGGGGCGCGGTGGAGCTAGGCTAGAGCCAGTTCGGGATGTTTACAAGCCCACGTAAAGCCCTCAAGAATCTGCATAGAGCACAGGCCTTCCAAGACTTGGGGGTTTAGATATCAACAATCGACATGGTCTTTTGAGACCTGCGTGGTGGCTATCAGAGGTCGGTGGGCCCCTCAAAAGCCGGTGTAGGAGCCTGAGGTGTCGGTTTGGAGCCATCATGGACCGGTGTGGAGCCCTGATGAATACCTTGGCGTCAAACCCCTGGACGTCAGGGTGGGGCCGGGCGGTGAGGCAGGCACAGGCCTGAAGAGAAGAGGAATTTTCAGATGTCGGCTTGGCATCTTAAGGGTCCTGCATGGATTTCTCAGAGGCTGACATATCGTACTGCGGGACCTCCATGAGCCTCAAAAACCTCTATGGGCCCCCTCACGCTTGGGGTAGGCTTCCTGAAGCATAGAATATCTGAGTATTGAGATGGGCCCATTAGACATGAACTGGGCCATCAATATACATGTGGTGAGTTGACCTTTATCAAGCATGATATCGGCTCAATCAGGATTGGGATAGGCCCTCTCAGACCCAGACTAGGCACAGAGTACGGACCCTCCCACACATAGGATGATCCTTTCATTCCTGGGATGAGTCTTCTCAGGCCTGAACTGGGCCCTCTCAGCCCTGAAATGGGCCCCTCTCAGGCCTGAAGTGGACCCTCTCAGGCCTCAAATAGGTCCTCTGGGGCCTGAAATGGGCCCTCTCAGGCCTGATATTAGCCCTCTCAGACCTCAAATGGGCCCCTCTCAGGCCTCAAATAGGATCTCAAGGGCCTGAAATGGGCCCTCTCAGACCTGACATTAGCCCTCTCAGACCTGAAATGGGCCCTGTCAGCCCGGAAATGGTCCCTATCATGTCGAAAAAGGGCCCCCTCATACCGTAACTGGGCCCTCTCAGGTCTGAAATGGTGCCTCTTATGCTGAAATGGGCCCCTCTCAGGCCTCAAACGGGCCCGCTCTGGCCTCAAACGGGCCCTCTCTGGCCTCAAATAGGCCCTCTAGGGCATGAAATGGGCCCTCTCAAGTTTGAAGTGGGCCCCCTCAGGCCTGAAATGGGCCTCTCTCGGACCTGAAATGGCCCCTCTCAGGCCTGAAATGGGCCCTATCAGGCCTCAAACATGCCCTCTAGGGCCTGAAATGGACCCCTTCAGGCCTGAAATGGGCCCTCACATGCATCAAATGGGCCCTCTCAGGCCTGAAATGGGCCCCTCTCAAGCCTCAAACAGGCCATCTAGGGCCTGAAATGGGCGCTCTCAAGCTTCAACTGGGCCCCTTTCAGGCCTGAAATGGGCCCTCACAGACCTGAAATGGGCCCTCTCAGGCCTGAAATGGCCCTCTCATGCCATGGAACGGGCCCTCCTAGGCCTTGGATTAGTTCAATCGGGCCTTGGATGTACCCCCTTAAATCATAAAATGGGACTATAAATCCTAAAGGGGGGGGGGGGCTATCAGGCCTGAAAACTGTTTTTCAGTCCTATGACGGACCTTGACATTAGTGATTAAAAAAACTGTCAGGCTGCATAACGTTACAGTTCGAATCGACGGTGGGCCCCTAGGATAAGAGTCGGGGGTGAGATCTCACCCCTTTCACCCCCCCTGGCTGCGCCACTGGTTGAGCAGACTCGCTTGCGCTCGCTTGTAATAGGTAATACACCATTAAGTATACAATCTTCGAGTGATTCTCGGTTTGTCAAAATAACAATACCTAAGTGTCTACCTACAACGGATGAGGCTGCCGATAGCACAGTGCTAACGCAATGAGGTGAATGCTGTGTTCTATTGCCTAGCCCATTTCTTTAATTGGAATGATTCTATTTCACAGTATGCATCTGCTGCCGCCTGCCTCTAGTTTTCGCAATCTTGGTTTTTGCACGTTACGGTCTCCGGTAAGCCGTAGCCGGGGACCACGGACCGGCCAGGTGAGCAGCAGAACAAGCAGAGGCCCGACAGACCGGGCAGTAGACCGGCCAGGGTATAGGAGCAGACCAGGTAGAGTCTGGACAGAGATCGGGCAGGGACCGGACAGGGACCAGGCCAAGATCTGGATAGTGGACCGGATAGAGCACTCGGGACAGATAGACCCGCCGCCGCTGAGGTCCGTCCGCCGCCCCCAGCGCCCGGACGGACGGACGGGCCGGCGCCGCTCCGAGCCAGGTTCGGTCGATATCCTGCGGACGTTTAGTCGTCATGGTTACCTCGCGGCTGCCGAGACAGCGCCGGAGCGAACCGGTGCTCGGGCCGCATCCCGACACCGTCCGACACTAACACCAACGGGCAGGGAACTGGAGGCTGTACACAGGCGGAACTGGCAGTCCCGATCGTCCGTCCGACACCCGCACAGACGGGCAGGGAGCTTAGGCCGCCCATACAGAGAGCCGGAACTGCCGCGGCCAGTCCGGTTACCGAGCCTGCAGCCGACTAAAAGAGTAGTGATTGGTGCTTAGCAGCCGACGGGAGTGGACAGAGGGCTGCAACTAAAACTAGGACATAAATCCTACGGAAAGGCTATACATAAACTGTCACTACATCCTCTGAGGCTGAATGCTGCATCATTCGACAAATATCTGCAACCGTATGAATACCGGACAAAACGCACAACTTTAGGACGATTGTGGATCCGTGAGCCGATTCGCGATCGATCGTGATCGTGATTGATCCGTGAGCCGAGCCGACAAGTGAGCCTCAAAAGGAAAAGTGTCATGTAGGACGTGAACGCTCTGGTTTACACACTGCCGTATTCCTATAGTGAGGGCACACATTGAGCTGGACGGTATGCGACCATCACAGCCCTGCACCACTGCTCCGTACTCAAACTGGGAATGTCGCCATAATGAACTACCGAAGTCGAACGGCTCGTAACGGCCGGGTCTCTCGGAAACAAAGTGCCGCGTTTGTGGCACGGACAGACCCATCGTCAGTCCGTAACGCAGGGAGTGTATCGATTAAACAAGCAATCACTCTGCAATACGACAGGTCCATGCATCCCTGGACCTCCATTTATGTCCATTTTGCACGATATAAATGTAATCATTATTTAGGTTTATTTAACTGAGACGATCGTAATTCCAGTTAGCGCACTGATTCTAGTATCAAAGATGTGTCGACTTAACAGGTACCAAAGTCCAGCGCTTAGGCATGTCTCAATAAGCTCCACAGTCCACATGGCGACATGACGCACGTCCTAAACGCCATCAATCTCGGTCTAAGCTCACAAATGACGTCGGTATTCCAGAACATTGTCGCTCGGAGTACCATATACCAGTAGGGAGTCTAACACGTCCATCTGCAACTCCTTCAGCGGAGAGCGCGCTGCGGGTAGCGACGGTTATCCTTCCCAAAGTTCTCATGTAGCTGTGTCAGTGTAGTTCAAACTACAGTCAGGTTACTGTTAAAAACGATCAATATCCTTGCGCCGGGCGTTGCGACACACTATTCATTACACTCGCCTCTACGCTCCATTCAACGTATTACATCATATTTCCGACAATCTGAACCACATCCGGAAAGAAAACAATTAGCCAAAGCGACCAAAGTAAAAACATGTCAGCTTTATTTCTTTTCCTTTTAGCACTTGTTTCATACACAACATTCAGCGAGGGGAAAACCTGTCAAAAGCAACGTCATACAACCCTGTCCTTACAAGTCGATGTGCGCATTTACTCCCCGTCCTCACAAGTTTGAGACGACCATTAATTGAGTAGGTACCACGCAATGAGTCTCCTGCCGGACCTGTGACATCTGTGACAATACAGGTGCGACGAGTGCGCGAAGATAAAGCGCCGCGAGCATTTACGCCGTCTGCTGCTTACAACTCCGTGACTGTGAACTAATGTAGGCTCGCGACTCATGACCCCAAGCCTCAACGAGACAGTGTGACGATAAATCACAGTCATTCGAAGGAATTGATCCTTCCGACACATCGCAGGGCGCAGGTTCAGGCGAGAATGACACGAGCTCAGTTTCTGCGCGTAAAAACACTGCAGCAGTAACGTTCATGCACCATACACGTAGAAATAGCACGACTCTGTCATCGTTTTGGTGAAACAACATATTCAGTCACAGTAAACGTTACAACACACAAACGTTGAAGCCGGGTCAGGTCACGTTGTCATCATCGTCGTCATCGTCGCTGTCCTTGACGCCTCCTCCGCCGGCTCTGTTCAGCTTGTCCAGCAGCTCCTTGGCCACGTTGAACACGCCGTGCGTCTGCACACCGCACACGAAACAGCGCTTGGACTTTTTGTACTCCTTCAGCGCGCACCCCTCGCAGAAATAGTGCTTGCACCTGTGAATGACAGGACGAGGCAAAACGAGTGACGACAGGGGAATAAATTACCTATCAATTGGCGAAAGAAAACAGAGCCCGATGGTTTTGTCACACAAACAACGTTAAGATAGTATCAAGCAAAGTCAACATTTCCATTGACCATGCATTACAAAAGAAACAGTTTGATAACAAACATATCATTTAAATTTTATCACAGGAATTGTGTTATTCCAAACCTAATTAAACGATCTTGTTTGTTTGTTTATTGGAGCTTTAGGGCGCGCCGACTACCTAGTTAAACTAGTTAAACGACTAGTTAAAGGATCGTGTTTCTCCAAGAAATCAGAGCCCCGCCGCCCGCTCCCTGGGGCGCAGAGGAGGACAGACCGACCGAGGTATCAGGTTACCCCGGGTCAGATGACTCGCGCGACTGGAGACAGCCGAGAGGGGTGGGGGGGGGGGGATGGGAAGTGGGGAGGGGTTGAATGGCAATCACCGCTCGCCGCTAGTTTCCAATAAACCAGCACATCACTCAGGGTCAAATGACCGACTCGGCTCGGGACAATGACCATGAAAACAGGTTCTGGTCCCCAGACCTTATTGCATTCAAATCGTGGCAGAGAATAACTCAGTTAATGAGACTCGTTTTGGACACGCCATGGCCCTACCTACCGAACTGACCCGCGGCAACGCGGTCGATATCAGGTGCACAACAACCTGTCAACTAACGATATTGCAGCCATCCATCCCATCATCCGTTGACATTATGGCGACCATCGTAATTCCGTTCCACAGTGCCGGCGCTGTTCCCGTCAGTCCACTAATTCCCAACATCAATATCAGCCAATCGAACGTAAGCCCATAACGGCGACACGACAGGCAGTAAAGGTGGAATTACGACCCGTATTGACTCGATTCACTGGAGAGTGAGGTAGGCATCCTTCCATATTCGGCTGAGGGCGGAAGTTGCGCATGATTTAAATAAAACAAAAATTACCGGCGGAGCTTAAAATTAATTACTGTTACCGTTGCCGGTTCCGCACTAAATTTACCAAACTAAAAGAAGCCAAGCCGGCATGCTCTCATCATCAATAGACGCGATGAAGATAGATGATAACGGCACCAGAGTCTATGGAACGAGTTGACCGCCGGCGGTCTAGCAGCCTATCTGATAGTAACACAGCACCCCATATCCCGCAGCTGCGGCCAGGGCTGCGGAGTCGGAGTCGGAGTCGGAGTCGGAGTCGGTCGGAGTCGACAGTTGCGACCGGAGTCGGAGTCGGAGTCGGAGTCGATTTTAGAAACCCGAGCCGGAGTCGGAGTCGGAGTCACCGAAAATCTGTCGACTCCGCAGCCCTGCTAGGTCTGCGGAGTCGGAGTCGGGAGTTGGAGTCGGTCGGAGTCGACAATTCTGCCCGGAGTCGGAGTCGGAGTCGGAGCTGGTTTTTGAAAGCCGGAGTCGGAGTCGGAGTCGGAGTCGCCGAAAATCCATCGACTCCGCAGCCCTGGCTGCGGCGTTACCGACACTCAGGCTGCACCCCCACCCACCCCCAAAGGTACCTCACCCCCGGAACCTGCCACTCACTTGGTGACGATGGGGTCCTTGAAGCTCTCTCGGCAGATGAAGCAGCGGAAGGGCAGGTGATCCTCGTCGTCGCTGATCTCGTAGTTTTCGTTGTCGCACGCGCCGTACGTCTGGTTGTCCATCTCTCGCTCCAGCTGCCAGCCGAACTTGTAGTCGGTCCGGTCGTGCATGAAGATACACGAGTCTGTCGCAGGGGGAGGAGGGTGGGCGGGGAGGTCAGACAGGTGGGCCCAAGGGTGGCTTTAGACAGACGGGCAGGGGTGGGGTGGGGTGGGGGGGGGGGGGGGGAAGACACCGGTGGACGGGGTGGGTGGATGGCCTCGACGCTTGACAAAAAGATTTGGAATTCTCAGGGCCAGACTATTTCATCTATAGCGGGAAATATAATTTTCATCGGAAATGAAGTCGGGAGTTCAATTTAAGCAAACGGTTTATGTAATTATGAAAAGAAAAGAAAAATAACGGATAATCGTCCCTTTAGCGAAAATGTTAAAGATAGGAAGGTAGGTACTTAGGTAGCCAGCGCTCCCTCACCAGACTCAAACACCGGTGCTCCGCCCGCTCAGCTCTCACCTCCGAAGCCGCAGAAGCCGGTCTCCTTGAAGTCCTTGCAGATGTCTGGCGCGTAGTCCCAGCGCACTGTGGATCGGATGTTGGACGGGGCGCGGATCGGGCCGTGACGCACGCCGCCACTGCTGGCGTTACCCTGTGGCGTGTCCCGCTTGGAGATGTACTGGGCGTAGTTGGCCTGGCCCCGGTACACCTTGTCGTCCGCCTTGCCCTCCAGCTCCTTCAGAGGGCGGGAGAGGGAGGGGAGGGGGCAGGGGGACAGTCAACTAATAAATTCCACCTCTACCAACGACCGGCGTCTTCGGATTTTGTCATGTAACGGAATATATCTTTGACGGGCACGTAGATGGTCTATTCTTGCTTCATAGTGACTTGTCAGATATTCAACAAACATATAAAAGCACAACGACACCGTCGGCAGCAATAAGCCACTAGCTTCACGTAGAAATTCCGGTGACAGCCATATTAAATAGCTACCAAAGCCTCCACTATGCCCGTTCCCTGTAAAGAAACAAGAAATCCCAAGGCCCTATATAGGAGGTAGAATGGTTAGCCGTTTGTTTACATCGGTGACCTTGACAGATGACGTCAGAAAGTGTCTACCAATCTTCGCCAATATTGTTCTTCCGAGGATTTTATACTCTAAGGCAGTTTGATATTAACCTTTAGGCTCCCTTAGAGCCTAAAAAAGATGATTTACTGCACGGCAAAGTCTTAAAAATCGACAAAATCTTGACACCCCGTGACGTCATCTGTCTCCTGAGCCCTCCCTATGTGGCAGCATAGAACCGTAACCCCCTGAGCACTCCTACGTTCCGGCAGTCGCACCGGTACCTGTCCCTCCGGGCACAGTGGCTCCCTCACAGCACAGAACCTCTTCCAGTCCCTCTGTACACGGCCGCCCCAGCCCGGCGCAGTTAGCTCGGCAGCGGCGCCGCCACCCCACCAGTCCTCCAGTCAGCCCCTCTCTGTATTCGGCCGTCCCGCCCCGGTCCAGCCCGGCGGCGCCGCCACACCAGACCCTCCCCAGTCCCTCTCTGAAACCCCGGCCCAGCCCGGCAGCGCCGCCGCCACACCAGACGCTCTCCGTCCATCAGCTCCTCTCTGAATTCAGCCGCCCCAGCCCGGCGCCGTCGGCTCGGCAGTGGTGCGGCCACCACAACCTGAGTTCCTCCACCAGTCCCTCCCTGTATACGGCCGTCCGGCAGCGCCGCGCCGCGCCGCCCCACCCACCTTGTTGACGGCCATGGCGCGCTCGAAGATGGCCTGGTCGTCCCGGTCTCGCTCCGTGTCGATCTCCACAGTGGCCGTGGCGCCCATGTCGTTGGGTCCTTCGCGGGCCGCCGTGCGCTTGGACCTGCGCAGACAAGGGCGGAGACCGGTGAACGAGGGGGACGAAAAGCGATACAGAACGCAACGCGACGGGAGTCACGGCGCTGAGTAACAGTCACGGCTCACGACACAATCAATGAGCACATTTAATGGCATCGTGGGTGTTGCTTAGAGAAGTTCTCATGGGTAATGGTCATGGGGGTCGAAACCGGGGGGGGGGGACGGGGGGGGACGCGTCCCCCCAGTCGAGGAATCCGGGGGGGGGGGACGTCCCCCGCAAAAATATCCCCATGAATGATTTAAAAAGTGACCTACGACATTGGTGTATTGTCGTTTTGGGATGAAATTGCGGATACCTACTCGTATACAAATTGAATCTGCGAATTGCTAACACTGTACCCTTGCTTAAAGGGCTGCGGAGTAGATTATTTTAGTAACTCCGACTCCGGCTTTAAAAAAAAGCTCGGAGTCCCCACTCCATCTCCGACCACGACATCCCTTGGCCCGCATCGGAGTGAAAAAAAAACATGTGATGTGATGCTTTTGTCTCTTTGAACGTTTCTTGGCATATTAAAAGATAACATTGCCTACGAGGTGCAGCTCTGGACTGTCCGTCCCAGGTCCCCGATAGGGAGCCAAAGCTCCAGTTGTAGGGGCGACCATATCCAACAAGGGCTGAAGATCTGTCCCAAAGTCTCAGAGTGCAGTAGAACATCAGCTTGCAGAGACCACACATTTTACATAGGATATTCGTACCTAATAGTCAAGACCTTCAGCTAACTCTCAAACGGCCCTCTTCCCGTTCGAGGCCATCCGACAGCAGAAGGTCTCACTATGGCCTTTGAACGCTTGATGCTTGAGGGTGAGAGGACCTCGTCCTGGTCTGAGAGAGCCCAGGAGGACGTAATGCTCAGTATGCCCCTACATTGGTCTTACCATGACCCCTATAATCACCACAGCCAACAGAATCTCCAGGTCTTATTCGGCCCATCCTCGGGGATCACGTTGACTCTGACTTCAGAGTTGAAGTCTGTTACGATTTTGATGACTCCAACTCCGTATCCGACCAAAACCGTCGACTACGACCCCGCAGTCCTGCAGCTACACTGCACAGAAGTTGGAAAAAAGCTGTACCTATGGTTGACAGCGGTTTACAGAGGACCACACGATTTTTTAGAGGCAGGGCTGCTTGGCTTGGTGACCAGACCCTAACTGTCCTGGTATCAAACTTATTACGCGGGATGCAAAATTTATGCGTTTTGGGACTGTTTTGCCAATAGTTTTTGCGCGAAGCGCCGCCAATTCATGCACAGGTAGAAAAGAGTGTGACTAATAACGCCTCCACGCGAGAACATGAGAACATGTGTATTGTGTATGCGTTACAAGTAGGGAATAGGCCTGAAATTGTACGGTATACTAACTAACTTTTGGGTTTTTAGTCAGCCAATCCGTCCCCCCCCCCAGTCAAAAATCCGTGGCGACGCCCCTGGTAATGGTGCCGTAGCTGGGCTGGACGACACGGTGATCAGCGAGGACAGCCATGTGCTGCCGATCTAGCCGTCCAACGGCGGTGAGGGAGAACGGGAGGAGGAGGGGAGGGGCTCGAGGCATTGGAACCGGACGAACGCCCGACAAAACACACGACATAGAATGGATGAACGCATAGCAGCTCTTGTGATATTTTGCTGGCGATGAACTTAAGTCACTCATAAAACATATTAGTCATTCCAAGATATACTTGAGCCATTAGCCTTAATTTACGGTGTCAGCTCATAGAGATAAATGACATATTTGCGCGTTAAATAGGCATGGAGAAGTTAACGTCGTCATTCATAGAATAAGATCGTGTAGCATTTTCTTCATGTAAACTTGCAGTGAATGAAACTAATCCGACACTAGCTGACTAGCACACACCGAGACTACCGATAGCTCACTTACCGATACGACACACCGACATTATTGTCATCATCTGAACTCTCGTTGTCACTCGCACGCTTCGATACCTTGGCCGACTTGACTGTCTTGGACTGAAAAAACAAACAAACAATTGTAATTCAGCATTTTGAGAAACAAAGCTGGAAGCATTCAATTCAATGCTAAAAGATGACCTTGATTGAGCAGGGAACTTGTCCTGTTGATCATGTGATTTATAGATTGCAGTAATACATCTAGTACCTAACACACACCGATAAAGTGAAGCAGAGGCAGAGACAGATGCAGCATCAGACCAAAGGGGAATTAAAGGCAGCTAACAATAAGCTGGATTTCACACACAATATTAAAATTTTACTTTGATTTCAATCATACATACCGTCTGAATCATAGGATTTTTAGCATCAGCTTTCTTCTCAACCTTGATCACCCTGGTATCATCATCACTGCCTGAAAATCAATGAAATGTTACAAAAAAGGTTAGGTTGTATCGTAATATAAGCCATCGCTGTTGCTGAACACCAAGACCAAATCAATATAATTCTCCATATTACCATCATAGACCAGCCCCAGTGCAATAATGTTACAGATACAAAGACATTTAACAATGAAATACATATATTTGCATTGTGCAATGTGCATGAAACTGAAATCTATGAATTCATTAAATCTGGCATTTGGCAACAAACCAAGAAAAACAACAAGGTGATGGGATACAGAACAGTACCTATAGGATAAGATCAGAGACAAAATATGATCTGAAATAAAGATCAATGTATTCTAATAAAACATGACTATCTACAGACTACAATAAACATGCCACTCTTGTGACCAGGGCTGCAGAGTGCAGAGTCAGAGTCTGAGTCAGATACAGTTTTGGAAAGAAACCAGAGCCAGAGTCAGAACCACTGGAAATTTGTTGAATGTGCAGCCCTGCCAGGTCTGGCAGAGTCAGTTAGACATAGTCAGCAGTTTTGCCTGGAGTCGCAGTTGGTTTTGGAAGGCCAGAGTCAGAATTGGAGTCACTGAAGTCGCAGCACTTGTGACACAATCAAGCACAGCACCATTACATTTGATATGGATTCACAGGGCAGTTTTATACATGAGCCTCACAGCTTTATCGTAAGCATTAAGCTACTATAAAAGATTACATCATGTCAATTCATATTGATAATGCTGTACAGATACTTACTTTCACTACCAGATGCTTGCCGTTTTCGGGCTTTGAACTTCTGCTTTCCCTTCTTGAATGAAAAAGTGCATGGCTTGGGCACAGGATCTGCCATCGTGATATTGTTTTCTGAAAAAACACAGTAAAAAATGATTGAAAAATATGTTGAATAAGATGGAACTACAGAAAAAGTTAGGCAGGTATATTTCAAAAGACAATGTATAGCAGGGGCGGGCAAACTTTTGGGAGCGCGGGCCGGGTGTTGCATTTGTGAGCAACTGGGGGGCCTGAGTGCTAAGCTCGCCAGAGTTTCGTTTGTCAATGACTAAAATGGATGCTATGTTGCTATGACGCGACTAACGACGGGCAATGACTGTCTCATGACAGAGACAAATACCTATATGTCTGAGGACGAGGTGCACGACCTGCTCTCCCAGGAGACTGACGAGCACACCGTGGATGCGGTTGGTTCCGTCGACCGTGAGATATTGTATCAGTGTCTATGGTGCTGCGGTCGCCAAAAACATGTCTCGTGTTCAAAAGGTGATTAACTTCGGTGCACGAGTTATCACGGGGCGGCGCAAGCATGACCGCGTGAGTGACGCACTCAGAACTCTCACCTGGCTCCCGGCTCGTGAACTGGTGACTTACCACACTCTGTGCCTACTCAAGCGCATGTTGGTGACCGGCGCTCCCCAGGATATCGCCGAGCAGCTCTCCACAGTAGGAGAGGGGAGAGAGCGCAACACACGGCAGGACGCAGACCTCGCTCTTCCACGGATAAGATCCGAGTCCGGCCGAAGGAGATTTTTGTACCGTGCTGTGTCGGCTTTCAATGCCCTGCCTCTCGCTGTCAGGGAGCAACCACCGGGCGCTTTTAAAAGGAATGTGAAACGGCGTCTGGGCCAATTTTAGAAAGTATGCGTGCTTGTGGGCTTTGTATGTTTTTTTTTTCCTGTGTGCTTGAGTGCGTCACCATCCCTTGTATTTACTTTTCACCTCCTATGACACGAACTCAAGAATAGCCATGTTGTATGGATGAGTTCTTAAGTGTTCAATAAACAATAAACAATATAGTTACACTTACAAACGAATAACTTTTGACCCATGACAACCGTACTTAAAATCAAGCCTGCTTTTGTAAACTGCACAGACACACTGGGAATCATAGAAATAACGACTCACCTTATTTGAGAAGTACCTCAAGAAGCTGGAGACGGCGGGCTACCTCGATGTTTGTGTTTAGTTTCTTGGTTTATGCCGCAAAAATTTTCTCGATCGTAAGAAGACAAAATACTTTGTGATTCACATGCTATTTGCATTGACACGATACTCCACGTCACTCCCTTCATGCTGTCCCAGAAAGGTACCGGAATGCGTCCTTCGATCTCCGCACCCTCGTTTTTAGTGCGAAGGGTGGTGCTGCTTCCTGCCGTGAAGAAGCCCTTCGACATTCGGCGCCACAGATGTTGTCTAGCTCAGCCTGAGGACGTCATTCAGGTGACGATCAGACAGTCTGGATCGGAGGCGGGACTTCACGTACTTCATTTTGGAGAACAGCTGTTCGCAGCAGTACGTGCTACCGAACATGGCAGCGATGCGTTGGACGTGCGATATGTGGTTGGGATATCCTCCAGTGGGGATAATGGCATCGCGGAAGAAGGGCAGAGGCGAAGAGGTTCGAAACTTTCCTCTGGGTTCATCACTGCTTTGGAGTTCCACCGACTCCATCTGCAGGGATACCGGCGCTTAGTCGACACTGAAGTCAAACGGTGCTGTCACCAGCTTGAAGTCGGTAGCGAGCTCCCAAACGTCAGCGAAGCGGTTCGTGAACTCCTGTCGCAGAGTGGCAAGAGCAGCGGCACATCCGTCGCGGTTGAATCTTCCGCAGCACAGGTGGCCAGGCGAGGGAAGTGGTCAAGCTGTCCTCGACCTACCTGGGCTTCCCACAGACGCAGCTTCACCTCGAAGGCAGTGACATGCGCATACATGTCGGAGAGCAGAAGATTCATTCCTTGGAGTTTTGTGTTCAGCGTGTTCAGGTGGGATGTGATGTGATGTCCGTGAGCAGTACCAGGTCAGCCAGCCACCGGGAATCACTGAATTTATCGTCGTATGGTGAGCTTTTCTCATGTAGGAAGCTCGCGATGTCCCGCCTGAGCTCCCAAACACGGGACAGCATGGCGCCGCGACTCAGCCAGCGTACCACACTGAAGAACAGCAGGTCACCGTAGTGCTATTGCTACTGAACTCGGATGAACCATAATCCTAAACTGGGCTTCCGTAGGGCTCGCGGGCCGGATTGCAATGCTGGCTGCCTATCCAGACCGCGGGCCGGACGCCGGAGCTTGGCGGGCCGCATCCGGCCCGCGGGCCGGACTTTGCCCGCCCCTGATGTATAGGAACTAATAATCTCACGCCTACCACTGATCTTGATCTGTTACTGCGGGCAGTAGCGGCGGAACACCTTCAGTTAAAGGGGGCACTGCTGACTTTTGGTCCCATTCCTTCCATGCAACGCCAATTGTGATTGGACTAATGTTAAAATGCCAAAATCAAAGGGGGGCACAGTCCCCGGTGCTTCCCCCGTTCCGCCGCCGCCTATGACTGCGGGCATGCTGGTTAGAGGTTCATAATGATCTGTCAGCACTCTCATGACAAAAAATGACATTCAATTGAAAACACGTGATAAATCTAATGATAATATTGATAAATGGAATGGCATCAATTTAAGTCTAATCCAAACATTTTTGAACTATTTCAACATTATGCACAAACCCGCGTATATCAATATTAGCATGTGATATGTGATAATTATTCGATATTTATTTACCTACATCTCTTACTTGTACTTGTACTTGTTGGGTTAGGGCGCATCAGGGTATATAGAACAACGGGTACACCAACGACGCGGAAAGCGCCCATTTTACCTGGATAAGGTACATGGTAGGTGATATATTTTTTGAATATGGAAAAAATAGAGTATTCTATTCTGACGAGTAAAGCCAAATTCATAAAGCAGTTATTTTTATATTATATGTACCAGAAATAACATACTGACCATAGTTTAAAACTTAGTCTAAAGTTAGTTGAAAAGCGTATAGTTGATACTAAGATGGAAGGAATCAATGGAAGGCGGAAATGGCGCAGCTGTTTCATTCTTAAAATGTGTTCGCAAGCAGGATTTACGTGATGCTAGCGACATCTATTAATGCAATCGGGGACGCTGATTGGCTGACCGAGTCCGTGAGCAGTATCACTAATGTACGCCAGTACAGGGTTGATGCAATGTGCGCATGCGCAGGAACTTGGGCTCTCATGGAGGGGCTTTTGGTACCTCGGGCAGCGCCCAATGCTTTTTGGACCTGTTATGGCCTCCGCGTCAAAAAATGCTAGATAAAAAGGTTGTAGAGGAAGCTTGAGGCTACCTTTCCCCACAATAATATTGGCACTTTATCTTTTAGCTTACGTGTGAGGCTCGCTTGAAAAAGGTCGATTTAACATGGAAACCCTATGGGGTAGTAGTTTTTGAGCGCCCATTTGGTCTAATGCTACCAACTGTTACTGGCTACCCCTGAGGGCGCATAGCCTCGTTGGGCTCAAGCGTCCGTAGTTGTTGTCATCAGTGCGCCATTCTTGTCTCGATCGAGTAGATGTTGCAATCGGTTGCAGCCAGATGGTGCAGAGGGAAACTAAGCAGATGAAGGAAAATGATAGGTTTAGCATGGGATGGCATGGGGATGTATGCGCGGGCTTCGGATATGTCCAGGCAGGAAATGTCCGGTGAAGTATATTAGTAACGGTTAGTTTCTAACATATAACTGATTAAAAACTTAAAAATAGAAACAAAAAGGATGGTTTCTGGTTATGAGTCATTCAATCATAACGCTCTTGACCTCGCATCTGTCCAGCGAGCCATTCAGTTCAAAAGGATCTTCAGGCACGAGTCTGCTCTTGGTACCTCACTCAGTTATCAACTTGCGTTGGAGGGTTCATGTCTCATGATCATACCGATCATAACGAGCCTCAACTTCGGAACTATGCGACTACTTCTACAAAAGAAGGGACCGGATGGTACAAAAAAGATTAATGAAGGTATACATCCAAGAGAAATCTAGAAAAAGAAACTACAGTAGCAAACCAGTACAGGCTGCTCTTCATTCATCCACTAACTGCATCCATCTCTCACACCGATGCATCTCCACTCCCGCATCCTTCTCATTCAACATTCAATCTCCATTCATCCAATCATTTCAACACAACGCACGACTGTTACACACATGAGGACGTCCACAGAGCAGTCGCAGCACATAACACAAAACACCAGAGAGACGATAAAGTAAACAGTCAACACAAATTACAAAAGCAGGAGATCGCATCAATGTGCCAGATCGACGGCCATGCCCTCCGCATCAGTCGCAACGGGGTTCGCCAATCGGCAGGTAGACTAACATAATCCAATAATTGCACATGATAGCTTCAAACACAAATAATCACAGCTAGTTCATCGCAGATCATCGCAGTCACAGCTTTTTGAAGAGATTGGTAGCACGTAGGAACCTGAAAACCTCGTCAGTGATGTCCGGGTGTTGATCACCCAGAAGAGTTTTCAGGGTAAGTGGTACATCCAATTGAAGGCACTTCTGAACAATCGATTGTCGGTGAGTAGCATACACTGGGCACTCCACAAGTATATGTTTAACTGACTGGGGACACAAACATCGGTTACATTCAGGCCTGGGGTCTCTATCTATTATATGTCCGTGAGTGAATCGTGTATGTCCTATTCGCATGCGACATAACAAGATTTCCTCCCTGTGACTGGCGCGTTTACAAGATGACCATGATCCAACTTCATCCTTTATCAACTTCAAGTTGGTGTTTGAGTTATACTGCTGCCAGCACTGATTGAACAGGCGACGGACAGACAACCCAATATCGGGATAGTGCTCTTTGGGACCCATTTCAAGGACTACTATTTGATCCATCGAGATAGCCTCCCTGGCCTGACGGTCAGCTAGCTCGTTCCCAGTGATGCTGCAGTGTCCAGGGATCCACAAAATAACAAGTTCGCGATCAGACAAAGTAATCAATCGATGACAGGTCTCTAAAATCTTCATGATAGTAGGATGGGAAGTGACCGGCCCACGAAGAGCAGTCAGCACGGACAGGGAGTCCGTGCAAATGACACATCTCATGATACCACTTTCCTCCACAAATAACAGTGCCCGTAGTATAGCGAATGCTTCCGCCGTAAATACAGAGCAGTTATTTGGCAGCTTAAACCTTTCACGTCGGTTTCCAAGTACATACGCACATCCAACACCATCATGATTCTTTGATCCATCAGTAAAGCAGAAAGAGAACGTTGCATATCTCTCTCTGAGGTCATTAAACTGACATTGCACTTCAATATCAGATAAGTTTGCTTTTCTCTCATTTGTTAGTCGAATCAGATCACATTTCTGCAAGTGCCAAGGCGGGATGGTACCAGATAAGGACGTCAATTCGTTCGGCATATCAAAGTTTGTCTCAGCGCATATAGCCGAGAGCCTCTCATACACAGGGAAGCCTGCGATTCGCTTCAAATAATCACTATCAATGGCAGGCAGCGATGCACCGCGTGATATCAATTCAAGACATGGATGGTTGGGGTCACTCTTCACTCTCAAGCAGTACCGTAAGGTCAAATCGCACCGTCTTAATCTCAGAGGGGGTACGTCTGCTTCCACCATCAGAGGTAGTATGGGGGAGGTTCTAAGCGCGCCCGTAGCAATCCTCACGCATGCATTCTGGATGCTATCAAGCGACTCAACTGTTTTGTTTCGTGGACGATCCAGTATCTGGCATGCATAATCGAGTATTGGCCGTATCATTGATTTGTAAATTCGCAAAAGTATCGTTCTATCCGCTCCACAGTTCCCTCCGGCCAAACATCTTAGGATTGATATACGTTTAGTTGCCTTTCCCTTCACATATTTAAAGGAAATAGTTCACTTTCACGAAATTATTTTTTTTGCAATGGATTTATGATTTTTTATGTTCAAAATGATCAGCAAAGAAAATAAAACCTATTTATAACAAAAGATTATTTTCTATATTTTGATATAGGAAGAACTTTTCAGTTTCTGTAAGGCACAGGCGATCCAGTATGAAAAGAGCATGGGTCCCGAAAATTCTTCAGAAACTAGAGAAATTATCGCGGCCACCGGCATTTGGGCGATCTGCTGCTGCTGAATGTCCTTATTGATCAGTACGAGAATTTCTCTAGAGTTCTCGTAGATAATTTCTCTAGTTTCTGAAGAATTTTCGGTACCCATGCTCTTTTCATATCCGAAGGTTGGGACTTTTCAATTAGACAAATCACTATTCTTTAGAATTGTGATTTTCTATTGAAAATCCCAACCTGAGCTACCTCTCTAGGGGGGTGTTTAGCGTTTCGGCCGCGATTTGGGTCATTTTGATTCCCGCAAAAACGGCTCCATTATATTTCTTGCCATTTTCAGCGTTTGGTCCCGTGTGGGGGAGCTACCGGCTGGCAAAGTTACAAAAAATATAATTGACACGTTTTGGGGTAATCGGCACGTGCATTTTCCCATAGGGTTAACATGGGGAAAAATTGGAAATTCGATTTGCGAAAAATTTCGTCAATTATATTTATTGATATTTTTAGGGTCGGATCTCGGGCAGGCACCCCAACTGACGGTGGTAATTATTTAAAATATAATTGACAAAATTTCGGGTAATCGTCACAAACAGTTACCCCATGTTGAGCCTATGGCGATTTCAAAAAAATATTTTTAAATTTATTTTGCAAAAAATTTCCACGTTAGATTTTGAAAATGTTCCAATATGTTGTGTCCCGGGGTGTCGGCTACCACGTGGTATGGGTCAGATATGGGGCGATTGAAAAGCACGTGCCACGTGCAAACGTGTTTAATGGGGTAACCTCCGGGAAAATCCGACATTGGCCAACTGGGGGTCCTATGGCGTGGAAACCACTCCACCTACCGACACCAAATCAACGCAGCCGGTGAGCAGATGAGACCAGCTTGTCGCACTAGTGGTCACGTGGCGCACGTGCTATTGCACGTGCCGTGGCACGGGGTCAGTTTTGGTGCTTAAATATACTAGCATTGTGAAATGCAAGGAATGGGGGAAATAGCCGCCAGGCCGTCAGGTTTTATGATAGGGTCGATCTGAAAACGGGTATAGGCACAGAATGAAAGGCGCTAAAAAACTGCTATCTCGGATTTTTTGTAAAATGAAAAATATAAAATTCTGGGGAAATTATATATTCGAAAGGTGAAATTTCCCTAAATTTTCCCGTTTTTCGAGTTTAGCCGTCCACTGTTCAGGGACGGTGACACCGGCCGGGGTCATCATTTATATGCTGATGGCCACGTCCATGGGTCATCAAGTGGCGTGAACGGTGAAGCTGTCACCGGTCCGGCACGTGCCACGTGGCCACGTGTTTGAGTCGCGTACCTCCCAGATTATCGTGTGTTTGCCGATTTGTGGCCTTATAGCACGAAAACAGCACCAGTCAGGAAGCCTGAAATGGAACAATCGGTGAGGGGACAAGCCCTGCTTGCACCACCGGTGGTCACGTGGCACACGTGCAATTCTGGGCACCTCCGTTGCGGAGATGTTTTATAGTGAAATATTCAAATGTACATAACTTTGTAAGTTTAAGTCCGATTGGGCTAGAATTTGGTGGGTGGATGAATTGTTAAGCGACATGAACGAATGCGCCATGTTTGTTGCAGTGCGCCACGTTTGTCTCAAAGCGCCATTTTTGCCGCAAAGCGCAGAATGTGCGTACCTTTGTCGAACATTGGACGATTAGGATGCGC